CCCTACACTCACTTTTTATTTTCCCTACATTTTCCCTACACTACTTTTTCTATTTTTTCAAAGTTATCTTTAAAAAATACATAAAGAACTAAAATATTAGCTCCGTTTATAATATACATATGTATACATATATATATATCTATATATATATAATATATATATAGATATATATATATATAGATATATATATATAGATATATATTATAATTATATATATATATATATGTTTTAATCTTAACTGAAGAGTCAGGTTGGAAGATTTGTATGATGTAAAATTTAAAGAAAAAAAATTAAAATTTAAATTCTAGAAATATTATTCCTAAAAATTAAAAAAATACAACATATATATATATATATATATATATATATGTATATATATATAGATAATATTATATATATATATATATATATATATATATATATATATATATAATATATGTGTATTTTTTTAATTTTTAGGAATAATATTCTAGAATTTAAATTTAAATTTTTTTTTTTCTTTAAATTTTACATCATACAAATATATATATATATATATATATATATATCTATATATATATATATATATATATATATATGTGTATTTTTTTAATTTTTAGGAATAATATTTCTAGAATTTAAATTTAAATTTTTTTTTTCTTTAAATTTTACATCATACAAATCTTCCAACACTGACTCTTCAGTTAAGATTAAAAAAACAAGACAATTGAAAGATTTATGGCAGTATCACGATTCTATGTTAAAAATTTTTTTTATGTACCTCCAACAAAAAAAATTTCATAAAATAATTATTTGAATAAGGTTTACTTTTGTAAATTTTCAGAACATTAAATTCATTTTTTCAATCCTGAGTTACTGCATTAAGCCTCCGACTACTCTATCTATAAGGAGTCAGAATATATCGCCCTACAGGATTGGCATAATCCAAAAAGTCGTTTCAAGAAAAATGGATATGAATATTTAATGACATTTAACAATTTTTTTAATAACTTTTAAACAAATCAATGGATTTTAAAAATCCAGATTCAGATGTTTCTCATCTAAATTGAAATTAAATTTTTAGTTGCCTAATATTCACGAAAACGTGGGTTTTAGTTTTTACGTTTACAAAAAATCGATTTCACATCGAAAATAATAGACATATTTGAAATTTGACAAATCTATATGAAAGATTTTAGTATGTCGCATGTTTTGTAGACCTCAGTTCAAGAAACCCGAATTTTTGATTATGCCAGTCTTGTAGCGATATGTAGGTACATATATTGTAGAAATTACAAGCGGAATTTTTACTAACGATACACTTAAAATTGATTTCACTTTTAATCTTAACGTTTAATACATGAAAGAGTATATTTTTAGTTGTTAAAAACTATGAAATTGAAAAATCCCTACAATTTTACAATAGTAAGAAATCTTTCCCTTTTTCCCTACACGTGAAATTTTTGAAAAAATTTCCTACAAAAAGGGAAAAATCCTTACACTTGGCATCACTGATATATATATATATATACATATGTATATTATAAAACGGAGCTAATATTTTAGTTCTTTATGTCATTTTTGTATTTTTTAAAGATAAACTTTGAAAAAATAGAAAAAAGTAGTGTAGGGAAAATAAAAAGTGAGTGTAGGGAAAAAAGGTATTTTTTCTCATAAGCGTAGGGATTTCTGGAAAAAATCTCCTGGCATCACTGATTATACTACAATATTTTTAACTAACTTTTTTACTGCACGTGGCTATACTCCACGTCGAGTATAGCCAATACATGTACCCTTTCTTAAGGGTGATGGCCACACGTCGACATTTGATCAAAACTTGTTTATGTATGTAATTTATTCCAGCATTTTGCGACAGCAACATCATTTTTTACCGCATAGTGACAAAAAAATGTATGAAAAAATTTTATGCGTTATGTGTCTACACTGTTACACATAAAATTTTTACCATTATTATAAATGTAATTTTTGTTATAAAAAACAATTATTTATTTTTTTATTAATGAAAAATTGTTTTATTTAAAAACTGGATATTTTTCTTTGTATATTTCAAGTAAAATTTGGTACTGTGCCTGCAAATAAATTCGAATATGATTTTTTTCATCCATATTTCATTTACCTTGCGGCAAAAAATTTGATGTCTCACCAAAAACTAAATAAAAATGAATTTATGCTTCTTCTTCTTCTTCAATGTATGCTTCTTCTGCTTCAATTTCAGTTGAAAATCAAAAGTGTTTTGATTCCCTGCCAGCAACTCAACTAACTTTAAATGCATTAAAAGCCGACTTTTTCATCAACTAGTTCTGGTTGATTCTTGGATTATTTTTAATGGAGCCAACTGACTATTTTAACATGGCGATGTCCTACGCAGTAGTCAATTGTCCGACTCTGCATGACTTTTCAACTAGCTTAAAGTTAGTTACTAAAAAATTAGCTTAAAGGTAACTCTTTATTAACTAACTTAAAGTTAGTTGCAGAAAAGTCAAGTAATAGTTTTCTTTTGTATTCCCTACTGTATTAATTAATTACATTTTAATTAAATATATTTAAAATTTCACTTCTAGTTATCTAAATTACATTTCGCTTTAATACAAGTTATGATATTAGTTCGTTAAAATTAATAGGCATCAGTATTCTGCAGGGGAACTAATAATAACACCGGTATCCATTAAATTATGAATGATTTGTTCATTATGTCCATGATTCCCATTGATCCAAATCTAAAATAAATTTTAAAATGTTATGTGTAATGTTAACTGTTAATGTATTATATTTACAGCAGCCAAGCGCAGAAAGAGAGACGCTAAGAAACTGTTATTGTAGTGGTGAGAAAATACTAAAAAACACTTAGAAAAAAATATTGCCTAATTACGCTTGTTATGATCAAATTTCATAACAAGTAAAATAGTAAATTTTACAAATAAAACATATTCAAAGAAAAGAAAAATATATATTTCTTCACAAAGATAAAGTTTTTTATTTAAAATGTGTAAAAAAAGTATTAGAAATACTGTTTTTATGTGTTTTCATTCTTATGCATTAGTAATTTTTTTTTGGAGTGTACGAGTTTTTTGCAAGTAATTCTTTTGTTTACAAATTGTGTTGTTGTTTTTACAAATTGTTTTTGCAATTTTTGAAACAAAGCGACATCAACCTACATTGTTGAATGCTGTTAAGCAACTGAAGATATTTTTTTGTATTTTTACGCTCTTGCTATGAGTTTTGTTTGCGATCGGGTAGTGTACGCAGGGCTGCCAGATGAATTTTTGAAAAAATCGTCAATTTCCCGATAAATTTTTAAATAATCGTCATTTTGGTTTTAAGAAATCGCAAAAAAAATCGGAGAATATGAAAAGCTTAAAATTTTTATAAAAAATTAAAAATATTGTAATATTTGAAGATGAAATATATTAAAAAATTTATAATATTAATACATATTTATGTAAAATTCGAAACATACGGAATATTATTGCTCAAAATTCAATAAACTTTGAGTTTTGAAGAATATTCGACAGTAATGTTAATTCTTTTCTAATGTTCTCATAATGTTTTCAATGTTCTGGCATTTTTAAAAATATCAAACATAAATACTGCTAAAATTTACATAGTGAACACATATAGTTTTTAGGTATAGAAACTTGTTCATCTTTTTCCTTAAATTCCTCAAAGTTTGTTGCATCACAATATTGCTTGTTTTGGTGCACAAGGAATATTTTATTCTTTTTAAGCAAAAAACTGTTTGTAAAAGTTTTGAAAGTTTTCTGTAAACAAGTACTTACCCAGCAAAAAATATTCTTGATTTGGAAGCAATAAATATAACTACTGCATCTTTAACTCCTTCCTCTATTGCATCTTAAAATTATTACCTTACAAAAAAGATTTTGGAAGGCATATATTCAGCAATTATTGTTTGTGGTGTAGAAATTTGCTTCTCAACACTTAAAATCACTTAATTTTTGCATCTTTCTAAATTTAAATCAATGTTCAGTGTTGAAAAATAATATTAATTCGCAAAAATCAGCGCAATTTCAACAGTATGAAATATGCACATTTTGGATTCTTTAGGCAGAGCCTCTACAAGACGAATCCCATATAAAAATCATATATTCTTTTATAACAAGTGCAAGCAGTAACAACTGCTCTCTGCATTACAAATCTGCTTCCGAGGAAGCACTACTTTTTGCTGGGTAGATATAAACAGATTAAACTTGGTGAGATTTCTTCGTATAATTTGGTTCTTTTACAAAACTTGTTTGTGTTGGATTTAACTTATACAATGTGAAAATTTGGTTCAGATCTGTCGATCTCTTCAAAAGTTATAAGAAATAATGTACATAGCATACACATTTAGATGTAAAATATGTTTAAGCTTTGAGAGCTTAAAACTCAAAACACAATTTTTCGACTTAGAATGTTTTATAATAGCTCTTCTAGAATTTAATTTCCAGTTTTCATTATAATATAAATTCTATTTTCACTGAATTCCAAGTTTAATATTAATTTCCTTTTTTCACTGTAAAATAAAAAAAAAATGTAAGATCTTTATTTATTTTTCAAAAATCGTCAGTTTCAAGGAAAAAATCGTCAAATCGTCACTTTGCTATTTTTGAAACGAAGAATCGTCAAAATGACGATAAATCGTCAAATCTGGCAGCTATGAGTGTACGTGTGAATTGCTGAAAATCTTCGTAATTTGAACAATATGAACGCGCAACGCTGATTTACAGTATTAATCAGCAAAATTTAGAATTTAGAGACCGAGTTTTGAAATATTTAACCTTTCATAATTAATTTTTCCAATTTACTGACTCTAATTTCACAACGTATACAAGAAAATGACAAAAATGTAAAACAAAATTCCAAATAAAAAGAAACATGAGAAAACATGTCGAAACAAAATGCTCTCCAGATAATTTTGGGGTACTCCCGCATTATATGATAGTTAGCTTGTGTTGCGGGTGGGTCAGACCCAGATTTCATACAAAAAAATAAAACACTGACACTTGTTTCTATATGTACAATATGTTTTAGTTTTATTTGTTTGTAAAGGAAAATAAACACTTTATTTGTTGTCCCGAAAAGTCTGATGAATTTGTTATTATTGTAATTCCTTCAGATTTGTTTCCTTTTTGTTTGTTCTCGAGCTCCTGTTTCTTGTGTCCATCCGTTTGGTTTGATAATTGGTTTTAATTTGGTTCCACTGGTTTGTTTTGTTTATGTTTATTGTGGGTGGGTTTCCATTAATGTTGAAATACTGAACAAAAAAAGAAGTTATTAGAAAAAGAACATTTACACATTGTTGTTTATACTTACATGATATTTATTCTCAATGTCTGGATGAGTTAAAAAAGTGTTTTTTGTAGCAGAAAAAATTGAATATGTGATTAAAATTAAACTAAATGATTTTTATTTTTTATGTGTTATTTCTTAGGTCTTCTTAATGTTCTTTGTTTTATGTGTTTGGTCGTGTGTCAGCTGTTAGGTGTAGAAACGCCTGTATTACAGTGTAGCAACGCGGCAAAAATTGTAGATTACAGGGTTGTATTGTCATTGATGAAAATATAACGAGAAAAATGAAATGCAAATAATAGAATAATGGCGCGAAGAATTACGTGTGAGATAAAACGGTTAGAGGGGAATTATTGTATGTTTTATTTTGGAGTTCGGCAACAGGAAAATTGGCAACAAGGATTTTCCAGAAAATGGAAAAACCGCAAAAATACAACATGGCAGCGGGTATTTAAGGAAAAATTGCCGAGAAGAGATCATAAGCAAAACTCATATACTTGTAGCAGGCAATAAGATTGTGAAAGTGAATAAGCAAAAAGTCTGTGCGGTGAAAATATATACATTTTAAAAGTTAAATTTTTCAAAGGAATTTCGGTTACGTGAGTTATTTTAATATATCTATGGTAATATTAGCTACAATAGGATATTGTCTCATTTTAGCTGGCTATTCATAATGGGACACCAATAGATGATTGTTCACCTGTTCCAAAGCCGCATAGACTAAAATAGCCAGGTAACCAATAATATAAGTACGCTTATATACATGTACCTACATACATATGAAGTTTGCCTGAAACCACAATAGCCAATTTAGATATTAGCTCGATGAAAGAATTTAAATAGTGAGAGTTGGCAAAAAGATTTGATAGTGGCCTAACAAAAGTTTTACAAAAGAATAATATATATCGGTCTTAGCATAATACAATATGGCTGAAGAGAAGTCAACTTATAATTATGCAAGAATTGAAAGTCCAACAAGATAATGAAGTTTAGTTGGAAAATATATTAGCAACACATAAGAAGGAAACCCAATATGAAGAAAATAATACATGGAAAAGATTTTAAATAGTTATTAAGCTAGTGTTAAGTGTTTCGTGATAAACAAAGTGTAAGAATCTCGTTAAGTGTTATAGTTTATGTGTATGTTTTATCGTCTAGTACACTTATCCCTCGATTGTTGTCAAATTAATGGCTAATAATCTTGAGCCCAAGCTACGTGAGAAAGAAAATACGTGATCCTGTATAGTGAAATATGAATCTAACCTCAGAGAGCTCTTTTAGGTATAGGAAAATATAAAATTCGAAAATCCTATAGTTTGAGGAAAAATATTAGCTTGTGCGATAGATAGATGAATAAGGCGAAGTTAACTAAATTATATATATATATATATATATATATATATATATATATATATATATATATATATATATTTTAAAAAAGCAGATGCGAGGGAAAAATGTACTTGTAATTGTCTAAATTTATGTAATATTATTTGTCTATAGGCTAAGAGACATTTAACGACATCTTTAATAAATACAATAATAAATGTAATTGGTATCTTGAGACATAATATTTTCTATATTGATTATTTAACAAAGTACAGGTGATGATGGATTGGTAAGTGAAGGAGGTCAAGTGGAAATGGGTCGTTAGCCAAAAATGATGCGGATGCAGCTACGACAAGGTCGGGAGGGCAGATGAGACTGTCAACTGTCTCAAGATTCTTCGTGTGGTAGATTCGTTGGTGTAATTTCTGTTTTAATGTAGTGTTTTTGTAATTCTTTTGTTTACTGTTCGGAGTTGTGCCTGGTGAGTAGGGTTGGAACCGCCTGAGTATAAATACATGCCAAAGCTAGCTGGAAACCTCGCCAGAATCACGTTCCGTAACAATATGGCGCCCAATTTTAAATGATACAACTTAAGCTACTTCTCAAATCCCTGAAAAGTCACTTAAGTTGCGAGGAATTAGGACACGTACGACACCAAAACGTGTGGCAATAGCCAATTAGAGTTTTTGTCATAGACCAATTGCAGCCGTGATTTATATCGCAGGTGTTGGCTGACATAACTGCTCTAAGACGATATGGAGAGTGTATGTCCGTGGAACGCTTGGAAATGATGATCGGCGAAGAGACGCGTTGAGAGATGAGACACAATATCTTGCGAGTGACTCCGTGTGTCCCCAACTGTATTGTGTTCGCTTCGTTTTTGTTTTGAATTAGTTTTTGAGTTTAGTCCGAAATCGTTGTTAGTGTAGATTGTTGTTTAATGTCTGATATCCTGTCGTATCATGTGTATAGAATAAACTTGTAGTTTTTGTTGTTGATAATCAAGTTCAGTGTTAAATGTTGTACAACGTCTGATATCCTGTCATTGATATGTTTCGTGAAGTGTGTTGTATCAGAGTTGTATCCATTTGTCCTGAAAATGATTTGTTTTAGATTTCAATTATTTATAAAGTTATGTATTATGTTGGTTGTTAGTGATACCTGATAGCCTGTCATGATATGTTTCGTGAAGTGTGTAGTATCAGTGTCATGTGCAATTTAGCGGTACATAACTTTGTTTTGTTTGTAGTATTGTTGATTGTATACCACATGAAGAATTCATAAAGTTTTGGTAACCGCTTTGACCTTCACATACATCCATCATTGCCTAAACCAGTAATAATACAAGACGTTACAATAAGAAACTTGTAGTTTATTTATCAAGTTTTATTTATTATTTTCTAATTTATTTCTTTATTTATCATATTGACTATTTGTTTTGTTTACGTTTTTGATTATTTATTTATACGATTAATTTAGTTGATTATACACTTTTTATTTTTAGTGTTTGTGTTAGTGAATTATTTATTATATTAATTATTTATTTTAATGTTTGCGTATTTATGTGTTTGATTATTTTATATATTTATACAATTATATGTTTCTTATTTATTTATTTAATTGCATGTTTATTCGTTTTGTTATGTCCAATTTTTTACATTAAATTTTAAGTTATTTATTTATTCACTCAACTATACTATTATGCATGTTTTTAACTTAGTTTATTATTAAGTTTATTTAATATTTATTTATTTCGTAATTTTATTTTTAATTATAATTCTTTTGCTTGTTTTATATTATAGTATTTATTTATTTAATTAATTGTCGTTTTAATTTCTGCATGGTTGTATTTATACTTTTATTATTAAATTATATTAACGTATATTTTCTTTTAATTATTATTGAATGTAAATTTAAATTTAGCAACAATTTTCTGAAGTATTTATGAAAACTTTTGTAGTTATTTTATTTAACCAATCACATCAAAAACAATAACCTTTTGATTTATAAACTTTGCCACAATTCACATAATGTCACACAATAATTCAAGACCGTCACATTTTACTAATTTTCACAAAAATTGTCCATCACTTTATATCGCTTAATTTCAATTCTTTTACAAATCTCCAGTACGTTGTCATGTTGCCAGTCTCCAAAAGAATGTTTTCTTTCCAAATATTAGTTAGTAACACAATTATTTAAAAAATTCAATCACAGCTTAAATGGAACATAATAGGCCTAGGGAGACATGATAAGTGTTAATTGTTGTTGAAAATCTTAGAACGGCAAAGTGCAATAGTAGTCTTAATTAACCGCAATATGTTTATTAGAAATCATCTGTGGTATATTCCTTTGGTTGATTATTTCGCCAGAGTTAATTTCACTAGTTCATTTCCGTGTAGTATATTCTTCTTTTATGAAATACAGAAAATCGTTATGACCGAATTGAGCTTTGTCCACAATATGATTATGGAAATCTTCATCATTTCCGAAATGAATAGCTGTGATATTTTACACCTACCTAGATTAGCGATGACATTTAATGCTATAATAGGAAATTCGCAAAAGTAGACTTAGTAAAACTGTGATAGATTCTGTGATATAGATTTAAGTTGTGTTGTTTCTTTATACAGACTTCAGTTGTGCAATATAGATTTAGTATCTATGTTGTGCTAGTGCATTTACCAATCCCAAAGTTTACCTGAAAAGAAATAAAGGAAACACAAAGCAAGTGCTCATATTTTAGAATTTACACAGTTAAATACTTCCCGTAATATCAAAGACAGATTATATGATACATCTCTGAAATCTCTGAACATTTCACTATTGAAAAGTTTATAGAGATTTGGCCGGCACTGCAAATTTGGCAGATCATTAGGGAAAGGAAAATTTGTGAGGCGTGATCCATTTTTTTTATTAGTATTTTTGCCTCTCAAGGGGCGTTCGATTTCATTAGCGAGCACTCAACGGTGCAATACTGGCGGGAGTCCAGTAACATGAATTTTGTTGTTGTCATTTTAGGTTTTTGTTGGATTGCCTCTACGTTTTTTCTATCCTAAGGAAGAAAAAATCTCCAGAGTGCTTGTATCTGTTGATGGCCATATGAAGTGTACCATTTGATTGTAAAGGTCTCTTGTTTGCGAGGTTTCCTAGAAAGAGAAATATAATTTTTTAGAAAAAAAATCAAGTAACTAACCTGTAAATTGCCCGGCTAACTCTATGGTAGAATATGAGACTCTTAATCCCAGGGTCGTGAGAATTCCCCACGTTGGATTCACTCACACACAACCCGCACACCGTTCCCTCTGGCTGACGCCAGCGAAACCGGAGTTTTGTTGCGGGTGGGTCAGACCCAGATTTCATACAAAAAAATAAAACACTGACACTTGTTTCTATATGTACAATATGTTTTAGTTTTATTTGTTTGTAAAGGAAAATAAACACTTTATTTGTTGTCCCGAAAAGTCTGATGAATTTGTTATTATTGTAATTCCTTCAGATTTGTTTCCTTTTTGTTTGTTCTCGAGCTCCTGTTTCTTGTGTCCATCCGTTTGGTTTGATAATTGGTTTTAATTTGGTTCCACTGGTTTGTTTTGTTTATGTTTATTGTTTTAGGGGTGGGTTTCCATTAATGTTGAAATACTGAACAAAAAAAGAAGTTATTAGAAAAAGAACATTTACACATTGTTGTTTATACTTACATGATATTTATTCTCAATGTCTGGATGAGTTAAAAAAGTGTTTTTTGTAGCAGAAAAAATTGAATATGTGATTAAAATTAAACTAAATGATTTTTATTTTTTATGTGTTATTTCTTAGGTCTTCTTAATGTTCTTTGTTTTATGTGTTTGGTCGTGTGTCAGCTGTTAGGTGTAGAAACGCCTGTATTACAGTGTAGCAACGCGGCAAAAATTGTAGATTACAGGGTTGTATTGTCATTGATGAAAATATAACGAGAAAAATGAAATGCAAATAATAGAATAATGGCGCGAAGAATTACGTGTGAGATAAAACGGTTAGAGGGGAATTATTGTATGTTTTATTTTGGAGTTCGGCAACAGGAAAATTGGCAACAAGGATTTTCCAGAAAATGGAAAAACCGCAAAAATACAACATGGCAGCGGGTATTTAAGGAAAAATTGCCGAGAAGAGATCATAAGCAAAACTCATATACTTGTAGCAGGCAATAAGATTGTGAAAGTGAATAAGCAAAAAGTCTGTGCGGTGAAAATATATACAGTGTCTCTCATAAGTATTCGAATTTACGTAAACTATGAAAAGAAACCAAATTTAATAATATATTTTGTGTGCAAAAAAAAATTAATTTGTTATATTGTCTAGACAGCCCTTAAGTTTGATATCACGCTTTTTAAAACTTGAAAAATTTACATTTACTTAAATTAAATTAGCTTTTTTTAAAAAAGTCCATAAAATTGCCTCACAAAAGTATACGAATTTTTACTGTATTTCATATTTGAGCATATTATACGAAACACAAATTTTAGAATAGACTAGTTTTTATGCTTTAAATTGTTTTAAGGGGTTACTATCAACCGAAATGATATATTTTAGGCCCATTTGGTCCACAATTTTTGGGGATTTGTACCCCTCTTTTTATGTAATACCATTAAAATGGCGATTTTTGGCAATATTTGTAGTATTTTCTCTTTTTTTTCCAGAGATAAAACCAAAGTTTGATATTGGGATTTAATAGACCCCTTGGAGTATCTAAAAATAGTATTTTTGTTACAAGAATCTGTATTCAAACGATCCAAGATATATTATTGATATCATTATTCTGTCGCTAATTCAATATATTTTCCATTTTCATAATACTAGGGTCAAAAGTTTTCGGGGAAAGTTTTCTTGTATATATTCTTTTAGATATCAGCTTTTATATATTTTAAGTTTTCAATGTATTGTGGAAGTGTACAACTCCAAAACATGCCTCGAAGAAACACCATTCAATATGGTAGTATCATTATTTTTATATACCAATGACCTCCAGGCTGCATGCCACTATATCATTATGGTCTAACTCAAAAATATCGATATCTGTTTAAATATTGATTACTATGATCAAAATAAACCCAAAATTTTGGACTTACAGTGTTATTGTAATGGGCAACATAAGCGTGAAAGTTACGAATAGTAAAAACTCAAATCTACTGTATAGGATGACGTTTTGTTAAGGCATGTTTTGGAATTGTATACCGATATAATGTATTGAAAATTTAAAATATATTAGTGCTAATATGTACATGAATGTATACTAGCCAACTTTGTCGGAAAATATCGACCCTAGTGGTACGAAAAGGGACTTAAGATCCATACAATTCAATTAGAAACAGAAGAACGATACCAAAAATACATCTTGGAACTTTTAAGTACAGATCCTTATAACAAAAATTATTATTTTTAGATACCTCAAGGGGTCTATTAAATCCCAATATTAAAGTTTGGGTTTATTTCTGAAAAAAAGGAAAAAAATTGCAAATATGGTCAAAAATCGCCATTTTAATGATATTACATGAAAATATGGTACAAATGCTCCAAAATTGTGGAACAAATGGGCCAAAAATATATAATTTCGGTCGATAGTAACCCCTTAACACAATTTTAAGCAAAAAACCACTCGATTATAATTTTTGTGTTTCGTATAATATGATCATATATGAAATACAGGAAAAATTCGAATACTTTTGTGAGGCAATTTTATGGCCTTTTTTTTAAAAAAAGTTAAATCAATTGAGGTAGATGTAATTTTTCCAAATTTTAAAGAGTGTGATATTATACCATAGGACTCTCTAGACAATATAACAAATTTAATTATTAATTTCACACACAAAAAATATTATTAAATTATGTTTCTTTTCAAAGTACAACCAAATTCGAATACTTATGTGAGACACTGTACATTTTAAAAGTTAAATTTTTCAAAGGAATTTCGGTTACGTGAGTTATTTTAATATATCTATGGTAATATTAGCTACAATAGGATATTGTCTCATTTTAGCTGGCTATTCATAATGGGACACCAATAGATGATTGTTCACCTGTTCCAAAGCCGCATAGACTAAAATAGCCAGGTAACCAATAATATAAGTACGCTTATATACATGTACCTACATACATATGAAGTTTGCCTGAAACCACAATAGCCAATTTAGATATTAGCTCGATGAAAGAATTTAAATAGTGAGAGTTGGCAAAAAGATTTGATAGTGGCCTAACAAAAGTTTTACAAAAGAATAATATATATCGGTCTTAGCATAATACAATATGGCTGAAGAGAAGTCAACTTATAATTATGCAAGAATTGAAAGTCCAACAAGATAATGAAGTTTAGTTGGAAAATATATTAGCAACACATAAGAAGGAAACCCAATATGAAGAAAATAATACATGGAAAAGATTTTAAATAGTTATTAAGCTAGTGTTAAGTGTTTCGTGATAAACAAAGTGTAAGAATCTCGTTAAGTGTTATAGTTTATGTGTATGTTTTATCGTCTAGTACACTTATCCCTCGATTGTTGTCAAATTAATGGCTAATAATCTTGAGCCCAAGCTACGTGAGAAAGAAAATACGTGATCCTGTATAGTGAAATATGAATCTAACCTCAGAGAGCTCTTTTAGGTATAGGAAAATATAAAATTCGAAAATCCTATAGTTTGAGGAAAAATATTAGCTTGTGCGATAGATAGATGAATAAGGCGAAGTTAACTAAATTATATATATATATATATATATATATATATATTTTAAAAAAGCAGATGCGAGGGAAAAATGTACTTGTAATTGTCTAAATTTATGTAATATTATTTGTCTATAGGCTAAGAGACATTTAACGACATCTTTAATAAATACAATAATAAATGTGATTGGTATCTTGAGACATAATATTTTCTATATTGATTATTTAACAAAGTACAGGTGATGATGGATTGGTAAGTGAAGGAGGTCAAGTGGAAATGGGTCGTTAGCCAAAAATGATGCGGATGCAGCTACGACAAGGTCGGGAGGGCAGATGAGACTGTCAACTGTCTCAAGATTCTTCGTGTGGTAGATTCGTTGGTGTAATTTCTGTTTTAATGTAGTGTTTTTGTAATTCTTTTGTTTACTGTTCGGAGTTGTGCCTGGTGAGTAGGGTTGGAACCGCCTGAGTATAAATACATGCCAAAGCTAGCTGGAAACCTCGCCAGAATCACGTTCCGTAACACTTGTAGCTAGTCTTTAAAAGTCGGTTGTTTACGTTCCCAGCAAAAAAAAATTGAAGTTGTTAAAGAAGAAGGGATATTTTCATGATTTCTTTTGTACGTATTCTATTTAATGCGTTTTAAATACATGCCTAAATTCTAATAAATTTGTCATCAGTGAAGGCATGAAAAATGCACCCAAATTCACTCATGTAACTCCACTATAGGAATTGTAATATTTTACTATAATTTGGTATTCTCTTAGGAGATTTAACGAAAACGTGCATTTCATACAATAAATATTAAAAATTACATTAATTTTTTTATTAGATTTTTGTTTTTGTAGGTACCTACCTACCTAGTAATATTAAGTCCATTTTAACATTAATAAGAGAAGGAAAAAACCAAGACTGTTTAACGGATTTTAAAACACAATGGGTATTTTTCCTCTGCATGAATTTAAATCCAATAAAAATCAGTTAGTTATGTTTTATCTTATTTTATTTTTATCAATATCACACAAACAAATTATTTAAATATTGATAATTAAATCGAAATACCATTATTAATGCATTTTTAAATAAATATAGTGCACCAATGAAAATTCGCTTGAGAATCATCGAATATTCATTGGTTATAAGAACTCATTTAAATGGCGAACTATTTTTCCATTGGCATGCATGTGTTCGTAATGCATGCCAATGACACGCTAATGTTAAAATCATGCATGTTTCCCCTAAATATGAACCAGTTCATTATCAGTTCAACCCATGCATTTACTACTTTTTTTGCACGTCTTTTTTTGCTGGGTTAATAAATACCAAAATTTTGGAACATTTCTGCATTACATTGTTGTTCATTTATAGTCAGTCTACTAGAGTTAATAAATAAAATCATAATAATAGAGAAACAAGAGAAAACATGTTGAAATACAATTAATTCTCTCCAGATAATTTTGAGGCACTTCTGCATTACATTATAGTTAGCTTGTAGTTAGTATTTAAAAGTCGGTTCTTTACGTTGCCAAATACAAAATTTCGGGATAGCTCTGCATTACATTGTAGTTAGCTTATAGTCAGTCTGTAAAAGTAAACTAGAAGTGAATTTTTCTCGTAGTCGACTACAAAATTGCTGGCATCAAACCAGTGCGTGTGAGTTTTTTTTCACTAACACGATCAAAAAAAATCCTGTGTGTGTAAATTTGTTTGATCCCTGCCAGCAACTCAACTAACTTTAAATGCATTAAAAGCCGACTTTTTCATCAACTAGTTATGGTTGATTCTTGGATTATTTTTAATGGAGCCAACTGACTATTTTAACATGGCGATGTCTTACGCAGTAGTCAATTGTCCGACTCTGCATGACTTTTCAACTAGCTTAAAGTTAGTTACTAAAAACTTAGCTCAAAGTTAACTCTTTATTAACTAAGTTAAAGTTATTTGCAGAAAAGTCAAGTAATAGTTTTCTTTTGTATTCCCTACTGTATTAATTAATTACATTTTAATTAAATATATTTAAAATAACATTTCGCTTTAATACAAGTTATGATATTAGTTCGTTAAAATTAATAGACATTAGTTTTCTGCAGGGGAACTAATAATAACACCGGTATTCATAAAATTATGAATGATTTGTTCATTATTTCCATGATTCCCATTGATCCAAATCTAAAATAAATTTTAAAATGTTATGTGTAATGTTAACTGTTAATGTATTATATTTACAGTATTAATCAGCAGAATTTAGGGACCGAGTTTTGAAATATTTAACCTTTTATAATTAATTTTTCCAATTTACTGACTCTAATTTCACAACGTATACAAGAAAATGACAGAAATGAAAAACAAAATTCCAAATAATAAAGAAACATGAGAAAACATGTCGAAACAAAATGCTCTCCAGATAATTTTGGGGTACTCCCGCATTATATGATAGTTAGCTTGTAGCTAGTCTTTAAAAGTCAGTTGTTTACCAAATTTTGGAACATTTCTGCATTACATTGTTGTTCGTTTATAGTCAGTCTAC